TTTGTTTTTGGTTTTCTCATCACAGATTCACTTGGCAGAAGAGGCTTAAACTTAGCCTTCTGTTGCCTTTGCTGCTTTTAAACTCAAGCCATTGTGGTACTCTTTGTGTGAGCCCTCCAATGCTACAGAAATGTCCCCAGATTCAGAAAATGTCCTGTGAGTTGTTGTAATCTCAAATACAATTATATTCTCAGGCCAGAACAATCTGTCAGCATCCCAGCCCCTTTCCCACATGAACAGAGAGCTCATGGGTTACAAATGAGGCAGTTGAAAAGCAGGCTTGGTCTTCTGTCTACCCTTTAGGTACCCCTCTTCACTTCTCATTGGTAGTTGGAAGTGGCTGTAATCCCAGATCATCTGTATTTTTTCACCCAGAGAAGGTCCTGGCAGATGTATGGTGGCTGAAGGAGAGTAGGGTAGGAAGTAGGGTCAGGCAGTGCTGAAACTTCCAGAGAAGCTTCGCAAATGACCAGTTGACTGAGAAAAGAAGCAGCTGGGGGATTTGGGTGATGATAAAGGATAAGATCAAGAGGTCCAGACAAAGACTTTATGATGGCAGTCACGTTATAGATTTTTAAGGCAAGGGCCAAGCCAGTCCTTGGAATGAGTGCAAATTGTATCATGTTGACAGATGTCTACCGCGACATGTACACTGGATTCATGAGTGTAGTTCAGCCTGTGAAAACATGGATTGTGTAAATGTTGATGATAAGGCTGAGGACACATTAACTGGAAGTATTCTTAGGCAAAGGTTATAACCAACTTGTTTGATATGAGACATTGCATTGTATTCTCTGGTTTGTAACAATATGCTGCAGTGCAGAACCCATTGTTTTTTGTGATGGTGCCTCTTCAGCATGATTCTCAGTTAGAACTGTGTTTCTAAAGAGCCGTTCTGTGCCTGGATTTTGACAAAGCAGGTTGAGGTTGATCTCTGTGGAGCAATGTTATTTTCCTATAATATCACAGACCCTACGCTGGATTGCAAGTTTGTATGATGAGTCATGGCATGAACTCTCAGACTTTCTCTGTCCCCAGCTGCCTCCCCTGAGACATTCATGCAGAATCGAGCACTAAGCAGTACCAAGTATCTGCCTCATCCCTTGGATTCAATATGTTTAAGACCGAATCTTAAATTCAAAAGAAAAGTTAGTTCTGATGGTAAATGCCAGTTTTAAATGGCTTTCAAATTGCTTTTCTCCCCACTTTTCCACATTGTCCTCCTAGCCAACGAAGGATCACAAAGGAAGGGAAATGCTTAGAGGAGCTAGGCTCCAATGAGCATCTTCTGTGATTTCGGTATAACTAAGATGGGTCCTGACGACTCCTTGGGAAACGAAGAGAAAACTCCCAAAGATTGCAGGAAATTGTTGAAGTCAGAGGCATAAACAGACCCCAAAACTTTTAAAACCTAACTCCCTCTGTTTCCTGCCCCCATCCCTGATGCTGTTTGTGAAAGCTGGAAGGTGTTGTTGTATAGGGTAAAGAGTTCATGGGTTAGGTTAGACCTGGGTTCACTTCCCTGCCGTGTCTCCTGTAGGCTGGATCAACCTGAGCACACTACCTGATGGATTGCTTGAGCACTGGCTGAGTGATCCCTGCAAGGCTCTCGGGAGAGAACTTGGGTCTTAGTCGATGCTTCATAACTTTCACTTCTATCAGTGAGAATCTTCATCATTATTATCTTCACCACCACCACCTTCATCATCATTGCCACCACCTACAATCATCATTCACCCTCCTGGTGTTCCTTCTGCCTCTCTGTCTACTCCTTAGTCACCTCTGCAGACTCTCTTTCTCTTCTAAACCCTTCCATTTTGGGGTTCCCAAGGGCTATGTCCCAGGCTCTTTCCCCTCTCCCATGTACATTCCCCCCAAGTGGTCTCATCCACAGTGGGGCTTTATGTATCAGCCACTGCTGATGGCTCCCAGATCCATAACTCTAACACAGACCTCTCTTCCAAGCCTCACACCTTCTGACCAGCCATTCAGCAGACACCCCTTTGAATGGCCCAGGGCACTTCAACCCAAAACTCAATGCATCTTCTAGTCCCTATCTTGTTTCTTCTCTTTGTTCCTTAAAGACAGCATCACCATCCACCATTACCAGAGCTGGAAAGCTCAGGGTCATCCTGGCTTCTCCTCTTTCCCCTTCCTCCGGTGATCAGTCCATGAGTTGTGTTCATTACACCTTCCAGACTATAAGCTTCATGCGGTAGGGACTATATTAGAGTTGTAACCACAGTGCCGAGTAAATTTTTATTGAATGAATGAAGGAAGGAGTGAGTGAGTGGAGTTCAAGCACACGCACCTCCTTCCATTCCCATCACCTCCTCTGCAGTTCAGGCCACCCTCAGTTCCCACTGACTGACTCATTTCAGTTGAGCAGTCCCCTGGTTGACTTCCTCGACTATCCTGACTTCCCCGCTTCCAGAGCTGACTCCCATCTGGCCCCTCTGAGTTCATTTTCCTCACTGCAGCAAGCCTCAATTTCATAAGATCAAGAGTCTGATCAGGGTTGTGCTCCTGCCAATTGTGTCCTACTTGACAGCTGTTGATAGCTGCTGATAGCTGATCAGTCATCACATAGTCACCTGCACCTGCTCTGCCTCCTTTTATGTTGTTGGTCTCGTGGCCCTCAGCCCTTCCTCACCCGCACACTGTTCCAGTTTACTGAGCTTCTTGACAGTTCTCAGGCCTGTGGGACTCCCTGTTCTCACATGCTCTTCCTTTGGCCTGGAGCATTCTTCCTTTTCTCTTGGCCTGGTTGACTCCACTGTCCAGGTCCCAGAATAGACGTTACTTTGCAGAGGAGTCTTGTCTGGCTCCAAGTCTCTGCCAGGCACCCCTTGGTGTCCCTGGAGCATGTTACACTCCTCCATCCCCACTCCACCTCAGTTTCCCTTGCCTGCTTCCTTCTGGGGTTCCCTGCTGACCTCCATGTTCTGTGAGGTCGGGAACCACATCTGCTTACTGCACAGTTGAATTCTGGTGCCCACCCCAGGGTCCTGCACACAGATGTCACTGGGCAAGGAGGTGGTGAATGAATGAAGTGAAGTACATCCTGCTCTCAGAATGATCAAGTGTATGTGTGGGAAATCTGATTCCATGATAGTCTTCTGAGAATATGCCTAGTTTGTGTTTGTAAACAGCATATTGTCTGCTTGTCCCTGTTCATCATGTTTATGATAGTGGGGGAAATGATTCTGTGTTCCTTTGATTAAAAGTTCACTGGAGGACAGGATTTGGGATTGGTCAATTCCAGGAAGTCTTGCAGGTGATAATGTTACAAAACAAAGCAAAGACCAGCTATTTTCAGGTTATCAAGCAGTGAAGTCTACTTTTATTTCAAGTATGTAAAAGAGATTTTTTTTAAAGGTATCTGCTTTGAAGTTAAAATTAAGTCTGCTCTCATTATGCTAACATATCCTAGATTGTGTAAAGTCCAAATGCTATTCTCACACTAATAAGAAACAAACACAAAATGTCTCATACTTCCAATAAATTACTTGCATTGTATTATTTGCAAATTTGAAATTGCATGCTTTTAGATGGTAATTTTTACACCACTATTGGATCTACTAAAGAATCCCAATATCACAATATTAGTTGCACAAGTATCGACTAGAAGGGAATTCTGGACCTATCCAAGGATCTATGGATACCATTCTATTAAATTTATCTAGTGTTTTTCTGATTACCCAGTGTTGGCAAATGCCCTTAGTCCCAACTACTTGTGAGGCTGAAGCAGGAAGATCTCTTGAGCCCAGGAGGTCAAGGCTGCCATGAGCCCATGGGTGCCCAGGTATGAGTCCTGGAACCCCAGCTTGTCTTCGCTTACTTTATTCCCTTGCCCACTTCATGGCTTTAAACGCCCTGGCCCAGTGTATCCCACAGCTGTCTGGTACAAAATGTATGTAGATGATCTGTGAACACCTCAGACTCCACACATCCAGTGTCGTCCTTGCTCACCTGGCTCCAGCCTGCCTGGGACTCTTCAGCCTACCCACCCCAAGGGTCTGGGGCAGGTGAGGGCCCTGCTGGAACACTTTTGTCCCAGATGTCCTTGCCTGCTCAGGAGGCTTTCCCATTCACCATGTTCAAAGTCACACACTAGCCTCCCCTTGCACCCATCGAAGCCCCCTCTCGGCTTCATCTTTCTCCACGGCACACGGCACTTTCCAATAAACCATGTCCCTTCTTTCTTTTATCATAGGCTCCTCCGGGAAGATTAATTTTTTTTTTAAGTTGAGAAAGTAGGATTTATTGAGAGGACAGAAAAGCTACCGGAGCAGGAGGGGACCCGAGGGGATTGCCCAAAGATGAATTTTTAAGACTTTGTTTATTGTTGAATCATCAGGGCATGGAAGGGTATCTGAGCACATGGTAATCATTCGTTAAATATTTATTGAGTGAATAACTGCCTGTACACATGCCTCACATGTACTTGTCTAATTTTTCACTGGAAATTAATTCCTAGTTTCAAAAATATGCATAAATTGACTGGAAAAAAATTATTTTTGTTTTTTTTTTCCCTTTGAGTCTGTTGCGAGGGAACCAGAAAGGCCTTAACAATGTGTTTTTCCACCAAGAGTTCATGACAGTGCTACTTTCCTGCCATCCTCACTGATACCACACCTGGTCCACAGGCCTTCTGTCTCTCATACTCCCTGTGCTTGTCCTGGTTGGAAGTGTTTCAGTAACTGTTTCTTCTTCCCAAACGCTCTCCTCTCTCACCTTAGCTGGGTTAATTCTCCTTGTTTAGGACTTACTGTAAATGCCATCTCCTGGAGAGTCTCTCTGACCATCTACTGTCAAGTGGCCCCTCAGCCATTCCATGTCACACTGTTCTACTCATGTTACACATGCCATTTCCAGGTATTCTGTGGTGTATGCTGTATCTGTCCCTGCTTTCTTTTTCTAAAGTGTAAGCTTCTGAGGGCAGGAGTCTTGCTTGTCTTTCTCAACACTGTCTCCAGGAAATGTGTGTTTGGTAATAGAGTAAATACTGGATATTGTCATGTTTTCCTTATTGCCCATTTGCTGGTGAAAATGGATATGAAGTGCCTGACTTTCTTGTTCCTCGAGGTGGACAAGCTTTCCAAGGAGAAGGGAATGCAGGATGGGCTAGAACACGTATGTCCATCTGGTGGCCTGCAGGCTGCATGCAGCTCGGGACAGCTAGTAATGATGCCCCGCAGAATCTTTTAAGATCATGTGTTTTTTTAGCATTTATTTTCTTCGTGACCTCCATGTATGGTTCCATTATTGAAGTTCACAATCAGACCTTATTCATGACATTGCTTTTTGGCAGCACATACATTTGTGAGCAAACTGTTTTTAATTCGAACAAACTTTTCTGATGAGCACCTTGAGAACTCCCTAAGAATTGCAACCACTTCCATTGAACCAGACATTGATAGATTCATTTTACAAAAACAAGGTCAAATTTCCCACTAGTTTTATATTATTCTCACTTTCTAAACCTTATCATTAAAAATGTTAAAAATAAAAGAAGTCTTATTATGTATATCCACTAACTATATCATTTATCTGCTGCCAAAGACAATTCCCCTTTACTTGATGTGACCCAGGAAAGCCAAAAGATTACTCATTGTGGCCCAGGGAAGCCAGAAGGTTGGACAACCCCTCTCTGGAAGTTTAACTGTTTCATAAGCATCTTTGTTTAGATGTGCTCGATCAGAGTTTTACATTGCTGACAAGCTGTATGATTTCTCAAGTTTCCGAAGTCTCCTTTCTCACATATGCCAACATTCATATAAAAAAAGTGGGACTCCTTTTGCAAAATTGACTTGTGAGCTTCTGTTTTCTTTGTGTCTCCACAGCTCTTGGAAAGGACCAACAGTGGTTTCGAGGAATCCGATTCTGGTGCTACCAAGAGCCCGCTGCATTTAGCCGTAAGTGAGATGCCAGAATGGAGTCACCCAGTGCAGAAAGAACCGAGGAGGTTCTAGCCAGGCTGCTGCTCAGACACAAACATAGTGACATGGGAGTGACTGAGAGTGACTCCTGAAATACAGGCATAAGATCCTGAGAGTGACTCCTGAGACGCAGTCATAGTGGTATGGTTATCAGTGATCCTGGGAGTGGCTTCTGAGACACAGGTGTAGTGGCATGGCCTTCAGTGACCCCGAAAGTGGCTCCGAAGATGCAGGTGTAGTGACATGGCCATTAGTGATCCTGAAAGAGATACAGAGCTAAAGGCACAGGCTGCAGAGAGATGGTCTTGCCTTCCAGTCCCAGCTCCACCTGCTGGTGGCCTTTGACACATAAGCCTTAGTTTTTCCATCTGTATAATGAGGGCAAAGAAAAGAGGTAATGCACATAATGCCTTACCACAGTGCACTTTTGATATTATTGTTTTACATTTTCAGTTCTTAAAATTCAAAGAAACGCTTTTACTGTAAGATAATTGATTCTAGATAACAATACAAGTGTTAAACTACAGATATTCACAGGGCATATTTGAAAAGTCACAGTTACAGACTGTCAGGATTTTTTTTTTTTTGTGAGTTGGAGTCTCACCCCATCACCCAGGCTGGAGCGCAGTGACATGCTCCCGGCCATCCCAGCATCAAGCCGCAGGGCTTAGGTTATCCTTCTGCCTCGGCCTTCCAAGTAGCCAGAACTACAGGCATGCACTACCATGCCCAGCTAATTTTTTGATTTATTGTAGAGACAAGGTCTCGTCAAGTTGCCCAGGCTGGTCTCAAGCCCATGGGCTCAGGCAGTCCTCTCACCTCGGCCGACTGTCAGGATTTCTAAGCACAAGCTTGTGAGGGCCAGATGGGCACATGCAGACCTGCAGCTGAGCTCACTCTGCCTGGGCTTGAAGTTAGGGTGTCCAGGAAGCCTCAGGCTCTGACCCTCGTTGTGGGTGAGATCTGGGGGTTGGAGGGAGGAGAAGAAGAGCTAGTTTACCACCAGCAAAGCTGCCTCTCCACATCCAGGTAATTGAAGGGAAATGCAATAGTTGAGAGTGCTGCTCCCAACTCCTCAGGGAGTGCCCAAGGTGGGCCATGCACCCGCCACTCTGCCTCCGATGTGTCCCGCTAAACCCTGGTCATCAGCAGCTGCCCCCTAGGAACCTGACCACAGGCACCCCACCCTGAAACAGCCAGCTAACTTGCTCGAGGTTCTCACCTGTCTGAGGTTCTCACCTGCCCGAAGTTCTTAACTGCCTGAGGTTCTCACCTGAGGTTCTCACCTGCCGAGGTTCTTACCTATCTGAGGTGCTCACCTGCCCAAGGTGCTCTCCTGCCTGAAGTGCCCATGTGCCCAAGGTACTCACCTGCTCCAGGTGCTTCTGCATTGGGAACACTCAGTGCATGGCCACAAAGATGGTGTTTGTCTGCTTCTTTGCTGAGCAAAACCCAGGGCAAGTCCTGGGAAGCATGAGGGGGTGGGACTCTGTGTAACTGTGGTCACCACCTCTCCCTGAACACCACACACACATACACACAAATTAGTGTCATTCTGACAAACAGTGGAGATTTTGGCAAGAAGGGAGGAGTGTTATTTATAGCATGCCGAGGTGTTCCAGCAAGGCCAGAGGACAGGCCAACCATCCGAGGCTTGGGAGGAGTCTCCCTGCACACGTGCTGACCCCACTCACTTACTCTGACACCCCTCTCCCCACTGCCCCACCACACACACATTTTGAGTCCAGGAAAGTCGGTCTGACATGTGCCTCGATGTTCACAGAGATGGACTTGGCATGAGGAGGGTGGTGGACAGTGGAGTGTTTTTGTGTGTGTAGCTTCACCCCATTGGCTCTCATGCAAGATTGCTCTGAAGGTTGCTGGCTGGAATCCCTGCCAGCTACCTGCTGCTGGAACATCCCCATAGCTGAATACTTGCAATGGAGCAGCTGCCCTGAGAGTCCAGTTGGGGGGTTTGCTCAGACAGAACTTCATGCCCTCAGAAAGTGGGTTCACTGCATTGCCACACCTGCTGCTCATCGGAGAACGGTTCCTTGGCTTTCAAAATCTGTCATCTCTCGTTCTTTTTAAAAAACTTATTAGATGCTCACTGTGCACTCTGCTAAACTCTGTAGGATTCTGGTCTTACAAAAACAGGTGGTGATATCCTGGAAAGAGTTGGGCTGTGGACCTGGGAGAGATGCACAGAGGGGTGTTCCAGCTGCTGACTGGTAGTGACTCTTCTGGGCATGCTTCCCATCCATATACATTAAAGGGAATGAGCTAGTTAGCTATCCCAGAAGTCCTTTCCAAGTTACTAATTTATTTGTTTCTTGTGTGATATTAGCCCAAGTACCTAACCTCTTGTATCTCAGTTACCCACTTGTGATATGAAAATAGCAGTGCCTCATCATGGGGCACGTGGAGGTGGCATGAATCATCTGTGTAACATGATGAAAATGGTGTACAGTCACCTGGCTCCATCATCATGGTCATTAATGTCATATGACTTCATCATTGACACCAGGACATCATCATTAACGTCATTTGACATCACCCGCAACATCATTAGGAATGTCATTCTTCCACTCAACATGTGCTGACTGTGAATGTGCCAAGCACTATTCCAGGAGGTGGGGGATGTTGCAGTGAACAAAACCCATCCCCTGTCCTTGCAGAGGTTCCAGTCTAGGAGAGACAACAGGCAAGGAAAGATCTTGTGTGATGGCTGGCAGGAAGCACTCCAAGTGCTCCAGAGCAAATGAGCCGAGTAAGGGTATTAAGGGTGCTGAGTGGGCAGACGGCAGTACTTCACATGGCACAGGCTCTCACATTTTGGCAGAGACCTGAGAGCCAGGCATGTTGCTATCTGAAGGAGAGTGTTCCGGGCAGAGTGTGCAGTCCTGGGGGTGAGTGCTCACATGGCATGTCCACAGAGTAACGTGGAGGGTGCTGTGGCTGGGGTGAGGTCTGCTGTGTGGGGAGCAGGAGTGGGGGCCATGACAGACCTTGGAGGGACTTTTATTCCAAGCAAAACAAGAAACTGCTCAAGGGTTTTGTGGAAACAGATGCTATGAGATGACTTTTGCTTTAAAAGGACCCCTTTAGTTTCTGAGTTGAATTTAAATTGCAGGGAGCAGGCTCAGAAACTGGGCAAAACCCAGTAGGAGGCGATGGCTTTGACCAGGGTGGCTGTGTAGTTGCCTTCTCAAATCATTTTGTTCCTTCATTCTAAATACTGACACTTTTTAAAGAAGTTATTCACTTGTAGAGCCCCATATATGGTCCCGTCACTCTCTCCCGGGACTCTGTGGTAATCAACTTGATCCAGCCTGAGGTGTATCATTTCTCAGTGGACATGTCCTGGCAGCGAGATGGAACCAGTGCCCCTGGCCTTGACTCCCCTGCTCTGAGTTACTATTTCCTGGCTGAGTGATTTGAGTCTCCAGGGCTATCAGCCTAGGGAGTTTCATAAGCATTTCATCCTCTTGAAAAATTAAATTGAGCAACAGTGTTATACAAATGAATGGCTCCAGCTGTCAAGGTTTTCAGATGGACCCATTGTTCTCTTGGATTCTGTTGAGTTCCCAATTCTGCTCCCTTCTTGTCCTTAGCTCCTATCTAAAGGGTTTAGAGAAATGAATCATGTTTAAAATATTTGTTACCTAATGAGGTTTTTAAAAAGGTATTTCTTAAGACAATTCAGAAATTGTGATTGGTATTTCCAGGGAAGGCTTTTCTCTCTGCATAGTAAAATTGAGTAGCTGCAAGCCAGACTACAGGCATGAATAAGGGGGATTCTGTAGGTAAGTTTGGCCCTGCCACCATTCTGCCTTTGAGTGCCTGCCATAGGGGAGGTTGGGTGGAATTCCGCAGCCTTCCTATTTGCAGCAGGGTTCACTCTATTTTATTTTAATACTAAGCCTCTCTAACTCTCCCCTAGTGATGTCAACGTTCAAGCTGGACTCAAGCCAGCATGAAATACTTAGACTAGTGCACACCCTGGTGTACACCCTGATGCGGTGGGCACTGCACTAGGATGGGCTTAGGCTCACCGAGGCCTTGGTTGATAACGGTAGAAACAGCTCAAAAGGCATGTGGGAATTTGCGTCCTGGTCTCTCTCCTTTGCACCCATTTGAAATTTCCTATGATAAAATCTCAGGGAAACACATGCGACAGCAATGTCGCCCCCTTTCCATACTTGCTCTGGAAAGCTCACAGCTTGGGCTTGGGACTGCCTGGTCCACTGTAGATGCCAGCTCTGTCAAGGAAGGCTGCATGGCCATGGGGTAGCCTCTCTGCCCATCCGTGTAATCATCACTAAATGGGAATGACAGGAGCCTCCAAAGCATGAATTATGGGGATTAAGCAAGGTGGTGTGTTCACAACATGGCTAGACACGGGGCAGGTCCTTAGTGAAGGTTGGCTGTTGCTTCAGAGCTTGGGTTGGAAGGCAGAGGTGCTGTCCCACATGGTGTGGTCAGCACAGCAAGTATCAGTCAGATAGGTAGCCATATTTACCAGGAGATTGTTTAGAGGTGTATTTTCGGGTGGGCGCAGTGGCTCAAGCCTGTAATCCCAGCATTTTGGGAGGCTGAGGTGAGGGGATTGCCTGAGCCCATGGGTTTGAGAACAGCCTGGGCAACTTGGCAAGACCTCATCTCTACAATAAATCAAAAGATTAGCCGGGCATAGTAGCGTGTGCCTGCAGTTCCGCCTACTTGGAAGGCTGAGGCAGAAGGATCACCTGAGCCCAGCAGATCAATGCTGGGGTGGCCATGAGCATGCCACTGCACTCCAGCCTGGGTGACAGAGTGAGACTCCAACTCAAAAAGAAAGAAAGAAATGTATTTTCCTGTCTTTGAAAGGCAGTGAGTGTGGAAAGTGAGAGGTATGTCCAAGCTAGTCCTGGAAGCACAATTTCCTGCTTCTGACAGTCACCACTCCTCTGTGTTGAGCCTTCTACAGGAAAGTTCAGGTTTCTAATTCAGTCTCTGTTATTCAACTCTGTGATCCACTATTTTGTCTCTATTCCACATAGAGAAAAAAGTATTTGGTTTGAAAGTCAATTAAATGGAATTACTGGAGAAAATTGTAAGTTGGTGCCTAAAAGCATGGGTTTCAGTGGTCACAGATTCTGGGCCCAAAATCCTAACTTTGTCACTTATTAGCTGAGTGATCCCAGACAGGCTAATTAACACTGCTTATTTAGTCTTTTTTGTCTATAAAAAAGGAAGCTTGAATAATTAAAGGCAATACTGAAGTACCCAGAATAGTGCCCAGCACCTAGAAAGCTCTTTAGAAATAATGGCTATTTAAAAGTATATTTCTATCATGAATACTAACAAATACAATTACAGTTATTATATTCATTCATTTGCTCATCCAATAATTGTTGAGTGTCTATTACATGCAGGGCATGACTCTAGGGAATAGCAAGAGCAGCCTTCATCCAGCCTCTTCGTCACAGCGATGCACACATCATTAGACACATGAGAGTACCACGAACGGCACACATGTCAGTAGACATGTGAGTATCATGGATGACACATGCTTCAGTAAACATCAGAGTACCACAAACAACAACACATGTCAGTAAACACATGAGAGTACCACAGATTACACACACATCAGTAGACAAGTGAGAGTATCACAGATAACACACGCTTCAGTAGACACATGAGAGTACGGGGCAGTGGCAAGTGCTAGGGAGACAAAAGAAAGCCATAGGTGGGTAATAGTGTCTGGAAACACGTGTGAGGTGAGGATAGAGCCTTTTTACAGAGGTTACTCTGGGAAGGTGATGATTGAACAGAAGAACCAAGGAGCTACGGATCTTCCCAGAGATAGGGAATAGGAAGTCAGGCACAGTGGCTTGGGAGAGATGCGGGTATGGCTGGGGCAGAGTGAGGGTGCATGCTTAACGTGATCCCGTCACCTGACTGGCCATGGCATGTCTAGGTTTGGGCATCAGCCATGGAAGACATCATCGGCTAGTCTTAAACAGGGAGTGACATTATCAGACCAGGGTTTAGAGGATTTCACCTGGTGGCTGTGTCAGTCATAGATCACAGGGGCAAGGACAGGAAAGGATGTGATGCTGGAATCCTGGCAAATTAGGATGGTGGGACAGTGGAATTGGGTTGATTCTGGGAGTGTTTTAAAGCAAGCATCGAGGTGGTGATGCCTTGGGCATGACTTTGAGGGCAGCTACTCATCACAGCACCCCACGTGGGTTGCAACAGAGGTTTCTGATGTCCGATAGCCTGGCTACTACTCTATGAGAGGTAGCCCAGGTGGCCCTTCTTCTCAGCAGACACACGTGGAGCATGGCCAGGTGTGAGGGCTGTTGTCCTTGAGCCTTGTTCAGGGCTGTTGCCTGGCTAAAGTGGGGGGAAACAGAGAGGACGCCAAGGTCTGGGGCCCGAGTAACTAGAGAAACAGAGCTGCTATTTCCTGAGACAGGGAAGGTCGCGGATGGAGCCGGTTTGAGAGGGAAATGTCTGCTGCAGACACCTCTTAAATGTGCAGGTGGGAATCTCACCAGGCAGTTGGGTATACAACACTGGAAGTCCAGGGAGAAGTTGGACTGTGGTGTAGAATTGGCACTTTTAAGCATAAGTTATACTACCTGTTTTATATATAATACATAGGTTTAATATGTCACCTAATCATTCACAAAAATAATGAGAAAGATTTTTGTGTTTTTAAAAAATCAATCCTTACTCTTAATTCCTATGGACTATGGATCCTTTTAAATCTAGTTTTTGTTGCTGTTGTTCTTAACATATGCTCAGGAAAAAAAACATTAAAACTGTTTTTTAAAAAATAAGGTGAGGCTGGGCATGGTGGTTCACACCTGTAATCCCAGCACTTTGGGAGGTTGAGGTAGGAGGATCTCTTGACAGGAGATTCAAGACCAGCCTGAGCAACATAGCAAGACCCCGTCTTTACAAAACATAGAAAAATTAGCCAAGCACTGTGGCTTGAACCTGTGGTCTCAGCTACTTGGGAGAGTGAGGCAGGAGAATCTCTTCAACCTAGAAGACTGAGGCTATAGTGAGTTAGGGTCACGTCACTTCACCCCAGCCTGGGCAACAGAATTAACAACAACAAAAAAGACAATTTGCCTATTACTCTACTTCCCAGTTCTAGAGGAATCTACCATTAATAGTTTCTTTTGTATACTTCTAAAAATTTTCTATGAATATAGAAGTATATATAGATACAGATATGGATATATTTGCTTTTTATATAAACAAAGTCATGCTATATGTACCATTTGCAAATTAGTTTCTCTTTGTAAACAGTTTGATATATTTTGCTATACACCTTCCAGAAATGTCACATCAATCTATACTCCCACCAACAGACCCTAAGACTGTGGTGTTCAGTGTCCCTACTAACACTAGGCAAGATGAAATTGCTTAGTCATTACCAATCTGGTAGTTGAAAAATAGGACTTTAAAAATTCACATTTTTTGTATGATTATTGACCTTTTAGATCTCTTTTTCTGTGAACTGGCTTTTCATGCCTTTTGCATATATTCCTAGTTTTTAAAATGGTTTCTAAGAGTTCTTTGTATATTAGAGAAATTAGTCCTTTGTGTTGAGCCTTTTTTCAAACAAATTGTGCCTTTAGTGTTAGTTGCAGCTGAAAAATAAAAAGTGCGGGTGACATGAGAGGGGACTTCAGCTGCTGAAGACACCAGGGATAGGCTCCTCCTCTCTACTTCTTTTCTTACATCCCTTCCCCATCCATTTCTCCCCCAGTCACCCCATTTTTATTTTGCCTGTGTGGGTGTTAATACATTTTATAGATTCCATAAGAATTATCTTTCAGACTTCTAGCTTTGCGATTTAATGGTGGAACCCCTCTTAACCTTGACATAGCATAGGACCTCAAGGAAGGCCTGAACTTGGTGTTGCCACATGGAATATAACTCCAGAATTGTTTCCCCATTTTCATAATAATCATGACAGAAATCCAGGAGAAAGAGAGACAACAACTCCATTATGTGAATCCTGAGTGATTTTATCTCCTTTGATCTTCACAGCAACTCTAGGAGGCAGCTTTTGTAACTTTCATTTTAGAAATGAGGAGAGACATACTATGTGAGATTAATAAATTCATCTAAACTCACACAGAAACTAGTACAGTGATAGACCATGACAGAAAGGCGAATGCCTCTGCTGAACTCTATGTTTAAAAACCTCTTTTCTAGCCGGGGTCGGTGGCTCAGCGTCACACCTTGCCCTTGTTCAAAACATTTGTGGTGGTTTTTGGCCAAAGATTCTTTCAAGAAGGCCAGAGGCTGCCTGGCTGGAAGACACTAGTTGTCTCCAGGGCAACCCCAAGCCAAATGTATTTTGGATGTAATCCCTCTCTTTGATGTAATCCCTCTCTTGGGGAGGCTGAGGTGAGTGGATTGCCTGAGCCCGCAGGTTCGAGAGCCACCTGGGCAACTTGGCGAGACATCATCTCTACAATAAATCAAAAATTAGCTGGGTATGGTAGTGCGCGCCTGTAGTTCCAGCTACTTGGAAGGCTGAGGTGAAAGGATCACCTGAACCCAGCAGGTCAAGGCTGTGGTGGCTGGGAGCAGCCACTGCACTCCAGTCTGGGTGACAGAGTGAGATTCCAACTAAAAAAAAAACCAAAAAACAAAAAACCTGTTTTCTCCAGGTTTTTTAACAGAAAAGACTCCTGAAAAATCTCTGACAATGTTGATATGTTTAGATATAAGAATGTGTCAGTTCATTCAGCTATCAGTCTGTAGTAGATTATTAAATGGGTAGACATAAATATAAGAATACGTGAATGCCCTTAGTGCTTTCGGAGCAGATTCTGTGACCAAAGGGCAAGGGCATGAGCAGTTCCCGTGGCATGTGGGGTTTAACTCTCCTGTCTCCCTGTATTCCAACAGTTCTTCCAGGCGCCTTCTGCTGTGCCCATGGAGGGGTCTCTGTGTAGTCTCACGTGGCTGTCCTGGATTTAAGGGTTGTCACCACTGTCACAACTGTCTTCTTTGCAGGCTTACAATGGGCACCACCAAGCCCTGGAGGTGTTGCTGCAGTCGCTGGTGGACCTGGACATTAGGGATGAGAAGGGCCGCACAGCCCTGGACCTGGCTGCCTTCAAGGGACACACAGAGTGCGTGGAGGCGCTTCTCAACCAGGGTGCGTCCATCCTAGTGAAAGACAGTGTCACCAAGAGAACCCCACTGCATGCCTCAGGTGGGTTTCGTGGTAGTCTGGCTTCTCCCATTTTGCGACCTGCATATACATTTGGATAAAGGGATGGAAGTATCTTCTTTTATCTCATTTTTAAAATATCCTTCTTCTTTCCACATCAGATGTGCCTGCACACTTCCAAAATACATTTGGCTTGGGGTTGCCCTGGAGACAACTAGTGTCTTCCAGCCAGGCAGCCTCTGGCCCTCTTGAAAGAATCTTTGGCCAAAAACCACCACAAATGTTTTGAACAAGGGCAAGGTGTGACGCAGTCTTCAGAATAAGTTGGAGCAAAATGCATCAAAGTCAAACGACATGTTAAGGCATAAAGTTAATGGTATTTTAGGGCTGTTTCACAGAAGGAGTTCAGATAGTAGTTTGCTCAGTGCATCGTTCTTCTGGCCTGTGTGATGACTCCTAGCTTTTGTTCTCATTCTTGGTGCATCAGATATAGAAATAACAACTCCTAAAATGTACATATATGAATCAGAAAGTAAGGAATTTGCTCTTTCTGGGATATTTCTCCCATGTACTTGGAAAACTGTGACAGGACACCTCTAGATGTACACGCAGATTTAATGGTCATGTGGAACTCAGCTAACATACACATACCTTTGGGCTTAGGGAATCCAGTGAGATCAGCCTTTGATCAGTAGATCTTGTCTTATAAAGAGAAGTAACCAACTTACATGGTGAAATGGGTGTACTGAGGAAGCAAAGAGGTGGAGATAGGTGTTCCAAAGACTATGATCCTAGTTACTTGGGAAAATTTTCTTAGAATGATAGACCTTATAGAACTATTTGCATCTGTGTCCCTGAACTTCTAAGACATTGAGGAAAAACAATACAGAGACTGAAAAAAACCTGACTGCTGGAAATAATTGTCACTGGAAAAACTTTAGCCTTGAGGTCAGTAATGGTTGGTGCAGTTGAACTATCAATTATTTATTTATTTATTTTTTTAGACAGGGTCTCATTCTATTGCCCAGGCTGGAATGCAGTGGTACAATCATAGCTCACTGCAGCCTCAACCTCTTTGGCGCAAATGATCCTCCCACCTCAACCTCCCGAGTAGCTGGGACTACCGGCATATAACACCGTGCCTGACTTTTTATTTTTTTGTAGAGATGAGTTCTCGCTATCTTGCACAGGCTGGTTATGAGTTCCTGACCTCAAGTGGTCCTTTCAACTCGGCCTCCCGAAGTACTGGGATTTACAGGTGTGGGCCACTGTGTTAAACCAGAATTATAAATTCTTATTTCTTTTACTCCCTAGACATTATTGGTATTATATAAAATTACAAGGATTAGTTGACTTAATAAGGCAAGCATCCTATTTTGTTACCACCTCATTCCTGATGTTACAAAGGGTCTGTTTTGATTGTGGAAATCTGCCGTTGCACACAGGTTAACGATGGACAGTAGTCATTGTCACACACTTGCCACTGGGGTGGAGGTTGTGGTCCAAGGAGCCCCCTTGTGGTCAGGAAACGCACTCAGCTTGGATTTTCTTGTCATTCATTGAAAAGACACAGGCTGTCACTGGAGGGTCACCCACCAGATGTCTGCTGCACAGAAGCCTCAGACTGTGTGTAGAGGATCTGCCTCCCAGAATCTTTCCAGCTTGCTAGAGGGGCCAGTTCTTTTTGTTTTAAGCCCTTGGACGACTTCAGGGAGCAGGAGCCAGGATAAGTATGTGAAGCTTAGCACAGATAGTTTCAGTGACAGCTTTAGCCCAAGGCCTGAGCCATGGCTGTCACTCAGGCAGGAGGCAGGGCTCATCCAGACCTAGCTGGACCAGGTGGGCTCAGCCAGAGCTGCACCCTCTTTCTGTGGAAGGCCATGGGCAGAGACACAGTGTGGGGGACACCTGCGGGACATTGTGTGTCACACTAGGTGGAAGGGGGATCCACACAGCCATGGACCGTGAGCCCAGTTCAGAAAGCTGACTATAAATATAAACAGCACAGCTGTGGAGACTGTTCTGTATCCAGCATGCAGGTGGAGCTCTGGGAGATTGGGTAGGGTTTTTTCTTCTCATGTTTAGTCAAAAATCAAATATCATGTGCACCATTATGATCATGACTATTTAAAGAATACCAACTTGATGCAGAAGAGAACCCACCCAGATACATAATTTTTTCCTTCCCAGTCATCTTCCATGGTCTCCAGCTCATCACTGCCTTAGGCACATATCAAACATCCCACATCTCTCACTGGTGGTAACAAATGTAGTATCATTTTTAGAGCAAAACCCAGAATAACAGAAGCAGAAATACATCACCTGTACCCCAACCCAGTCTTCCTCCTGAGACCCACAAGAGAAAGTTCCTGAGAACAGGCTACACAAGCAGTCTAGAAACGTGCATTGTCCTGTAGCTCATACATGTATTGATTGTCTTTGAAAGTGTGTTTGATTGGCAAGCAGTGAGGACCGTAAGCTACAGCTCCTGGAAGAGCCCTCTAGCCTCTAGTGGCCACTATCCCCTCCCCACACCTGTATATGGCCCATGCAGTGTCCTTGTTCAGAGAGCAGAGCGGATCATGCATGGGGTGGTGACTCTATGTGCACGCATCCCATCCCAAGGGGGAGCCACATGTCATCAGGCTTTGGTCTCCTCCAACAAGCTGGGTGAGGGACTCACCCCAGGGCTTGTTCCCCCTCCTAAGGAACAGAGAGACACAACCTCCCAGGAGAATCATCCTCCCAGGTGCACTGTGCCCCCACTGGCTGGTCGAGGCCCACCCTGTGTTGGGGCAGGCCAGGAAGGCCCAGGAAGGCAGAGAAGCCACAGGCTCATTGAGGGATGCCAGGACAGGTGTCTGTCCTTCAGCCCCAGGACCCGTCCACAAGTCTCCAGATGGTGGCAAGAGATCACCAGTGAGTGGGAAAAGAGGGACTGGATGGCCCTCACAGGCTTGAACCTGACTTTCACCATGAGAATCACCTGCACAAGGGCTGGTATATGCACCTCAGGAGGCAAAGGACCCTGAAGGAGAGTGACCTGTCCTCCCTTCCCTTCCCTTCCTCCCTGTCCCCTCCTCCCTTACCTTCTCCCTCTTCCTCCCAGGCCTCTCCTCCCTTCCCTCCCTCTTCCCTTTCCTCCCTCCTCCTCCCCCTCCCTGTCCATCCACCCCTTCCCTTCCTCTCTCTCCCCTCCTTCCTCCTCTCCTCCCTTCCCTCCCTCCTCCTCCCTGTCCTCCCCTCCCTTCCCTTCTTCCCTGTCCTCTCCTTCCTTCCTTCCCTGCCTCCTCATTCTCCCTTCCTTCCCTCCTCCTCCCTGTCCACTCCTCCCTATAGCATATTTGAAGAGGTTTATTCCTCCCTTCCCTACCTCCCTCTTCCTCCTCCCTTTCCTCCTCCCTTTCCTCTCCCCCTCCTTCCCCCGTCCTCCTTCCTGTCCTCTCCTTCCTTCCTTGTCCCTTCCCTCACTCCTCTCTTCTCTCCCTCCTCCCTTCCCTCCCTCCCCCTCCCTGTTCTCCTCTCCCTCCCTTCCCTCCCTTGCTCTCCCCTCTCTTCCTTCCCTCCTCTTCCCTCTTCTCTCCTTCCTTCCCCCTTCCCCTATCCTTCCTCTCTGTGTCTCCTCTCTTTCCTTTCTCCCTCTCTCCTCCCTTCTCTTTCATCCCTTCCCCCTCCTTTTCCCTCACCCTAGTCCTCCTCCCTTCCTCTTCCTTCACTCCTTTCCCCTCCCCCTTCTTCCTGCTTTTTAGTGAGCTGGAGGGGGGAGTAGAGGCAGGAGGATAATACAGAATTTGAAGGCTCTCCTAGAGGAACAACGACAGTGGGGGAGGGGATCAGCCCCGGGCAGGAGGATAAGAAAGGACATCAAGTTCAAGAAAGACTCCTTCACAGGAGCAGAAAGGAAGGTGGGGTCCACAGTGCCTGATAGGAAGAGGGATGACAGGATACTGGGATACCCTGTGCCCAGATACCTCAAGAGCTGGACACTGAGGGGGTCTGTTGGCAACAACTGAAAGCCACTGATTTGAAGTCAAAGTAAATTTCACCTTGGGGGGATATGTGTGGTTTTGTTCTGTTAAAAGCCTGTTTTTATATTCTTTTCCAGTAATTAATGGCCACACGCTGTGTTTGCGACTTTTGCTAGAAATTGCGGACAACCCAGAAGTGGTGGACGTGAAAGACGCCAAAGGACAGTGAGTGTCCTGCACTTGACCTTGGGCTGATGTTCCAGTCACAAGAGGCAGTTGGTGTGTTAGACGGCAAGGAGGGCTGACTGCTGAACCTGAAGTTTTTTGAGGAAAGGCCAAACTCTATAACATATTTGAAGAGGTTTATTCTGAGCCAAATATGAGTGACCATGGCCTGGGGTACCCAAAAGGTCCTGAGAACGTGTGCCCAAGGTGGTTGAGTAACAATTCAGTTTTATACATTTCAGGAAGACAAGTTTACATGCAAGGACATAAATCAGTACATGTGAGGTGTACATTGTCTTAACCTGGTAGGACATCTCAAGGGGGAGCTTGCCAGCCAAAAGTAGATTTTAGGGATCCTTTAATTGATGGTTGAGAGAATTAAGCTATTGTCTAAAGACCTAAAATCTAGAGAAAGGAATGTCTGAATTAAGATAAGAGGGTTGTGGAGGCCAAGATTCTTATGTAGATGAAGGCTCATAGATGGCAGCCCAGAGAGACTAGGTGGCAAATGTCTTATTCAGACTTTAATTCAGACTCTCAGTTAATCATTCCTGGATCTGAGAAGGCCTGGAAGGGGAAAGATCTGGTTGTGTGAGTGGAGATTCTCTACAGATGCAAATTTTTCCCCAAAAAGACGGCTTTGTAGGGCTATTTCAAAATAGGTCAAAGAAATATTTTGGGGGCAAGATATCTTTATTTCCTTTCAGACCTGCTATCTGTCATGTGTTGCTATAGCAGAGTCAAGTTGGGATTTGGCATCTTACTGTCACAGTTTCATGACCTCTATTTTAGTGTGAATGCTGGTCAGTCATGCCCAAACTCCACCAGGGAGGGGATATAATGAGGCATGTCCAACCTTCTTTCCCTCATGGCCTGGGATTTAGTTTTCCAGGTTTCCCTTGGCCCAGAGGGGTTCCATTCAATCGGTTGGAGGGCTTAACATTTTAATTCTGGTTTACACATTGAAGGAATAGATTTGGGTGAAATTACAAGGAAGGGTCCTGGAATTACGAGGCAACTCTATGCTGCCATGTGCATATCCAAGAAACACGTGGGGTAGGTGCATGCGTATCTTGATGAACAAAAGCACCATTTTTGTCTGTGACCATGTTTCCTGGCTCTTTTGTCTATTCCCTCCTTTGTTCCCTCTTTCTACCCATTTTACCCCTTCTGAAGCTGCCGTATTCCCACTTTTAAGTTAATAATGGCAATAAGACAGACCTCAAGAGGTCATCTCCATTATTAAAACCCTTCTGATTTTTATTCTTCTTCAAACTTATTTTTCAAAGTAATTTCCATCTGTTAGTCTATTCCCCATCCAACCTTCTCTTATAAATAGGCATTGCAGGGCAGAAAAACATGAGCAACTATCTCCAGGCACGTGAACTAATGTCTAAGAACCTCCCTCCTTCGGTACCAGCTCCCTTGTTCCTCCCCCTAGAAAGCTTTGTTCAAATGAGAACTTAGGCAGAAGTCCAACATAGAACTCTATGAAATCAGAGCTACTCTGACAGAAGTAAGTGTCTTCTTCACATACACAACTCTCTACTCAGCTGATCTCTAGAAAAAGCTGCATTCTTCCAAAACTGACGGGATTCACATGGATATTTTGAAAAGGACCTTTCCCTGCTGCACCCCTAGGCATCATTCCTCCAACATAGCACGTGGGCACCGGAGCAGAGTCAGAGAGCTTATCCAGGTGACACATAGAGAATGAGGACACAGAAAATATTAAGCCATTATCAAGAGTGAAGGGAGGCAGTCTTCCACTGAAAGTGATGAATGTTTTTTAATCTCCTTTTTAAAAGCCTTCCTTGTCTCTCTCCCCAGAACCCCACTGATGCTTGCAGTAGCATATGGACATATTGATGCTGTTTCATTGTTACTTGAAAAGGAAGCAAACGTAGATGCTGTGGATGTCCTAGGATGCACAGCTTTACACAGAGGGGTATGTACATCTTCCTCAGTCTAGTCAAGCAACTTTTTAGTGTGCTTGTTTCCACTTATTTTTCCCTACACAAATTTTTAATAAAAAGATTGTAACCTAACATAACCAGTTAACCTCAGTCATTTAAAAATAAATTGCAAAATCTTTTGCAAAGGCAAACTCACAGAAGGTTTTGCTCTTAAGGCTTCATGATATATTTTGATAAGGTGTGAACACCTACCGTTGGTGGAATTGGTTCTGCTTTCTGATTGCAAAATGCATGTATATCATAGAAAATTTGCAAAATCTTTTTTTTAAGCACAGAGAAAGAAAATTACAATCTCCAGTAATCATACCTCTGGAAATAACTGCTTTTTGGAGCATATTATCTCCAATCTTCTTTTCTGTAAATAGATTTGTTTTAAATTTTAAAAAGAGAGAATAGAGATACTGAAGCTATGACTTAGAATCTGCTTTTTTCTCTTAAATCACCAAGGACCTTTTTTCATGTTGCTTTTGTCTGCACCATCATTTTTAATACTCTGTGGTGTTCCAGAGCCATGCTGTCTTTCAGTGATGCCTTGGTTTAAGTAGTCATGCCATTTCCAATTGTTCTTTATTATAAGTGAAGCCAATATATGTGCCTGGTAGACAATTCTTCCCACACAGCTGCTGAGCTGCCTTTTAAAGCATGTCAAATAAACTAAATGAACAAAAACAGAAATCGTAAAATTGCTATTTGGGGGTGGTGCCAAACACTCTGGTGAATGAAAAGACGAGTAGCTCTACATGGTCATTGTCGTCAGCATGGTTATTATTTCTTGGTCACTTCCCACTTCCTGTGAAGGGTGTAGTGACTGGGAGCCCCTACAGGTATTACTTCTTTTGTCCTCCCAACAACCCTGAGGTCATTATGACCACAACTGTATACAGGAGAAGAGAGGGAGGCACAGAGGAACCAGCTGACCTGGTGCACGGAGCCAGGATTTAGTCTACATCTTCCAGAGTCTAAAGCTGATGTCTCTCCATGTCAGAAAACCTACTGTGGGTGTTTGGAGGGGGAGGGTATTTCCAGAAGACAGGTGTTCTCATGTTGTTTTGGACTGGATGTTGCCAGACCATTCTGCCTCTGCCCTAGTGTGGGCAGCACTTGCTTTCCTGGAGACCCACGCACATGTCCAGCCCAACTTCGCTTAGCCAGCTGCTTTGATTCCCAAGTCTCTGAGGTTTGCTTTGTGTTTTCAATCACAATGCTTCAGATCATGACAGGACATGAGGAGTGTGTGCAGATGCTGCTGGAGCAGGAAGTGTCAATTCTCTGTAAAGATTCTCGAGGGAGGACACCCTTGCACTATGCAGCTGCCCGCGGCCATGCCACGTGGCTGAGTGAGCTGCTCCAGATGGCTCCCTCAGAGGAGGACTGTTGCTTCAAGGACAACCATGGCTACACACCACTGCACTGGGCCTGCTACAATGGTGAGTCACTGTCGTTGGACGGAGTTCCCTGGTCTCTCCACCCCAGGACCGTGACCTTGGCACGGGCGAGAGCAAGATATGGGCTATAGGTCTTGGTTACTGGTCAGATTTTTTGTGGTGTGGTTTTGTTTGGTCAGAAATTTTTAAAAAGATCCCCCAGCCCCATGACTGCTAGGATGTCTTAACTGAGTACCAGTTAATTAGTAACATGTCACTTTTTTGTTAATCAGTACCATCCGTTTTCTTCAGGACTTCTGATCTATATGAGGTAACCAGGGATCCCACAAGGAATTAAAACAATACAGCTAAAAACAAAACAATGCGTATGATTTAATAACCTGTCACAATTGATTACCAGTAGATGCATAGTTTATCTTTTGGTATTTCTTTTTCATGTTTCACATTTCCCATTTATTTTGTCGCACTTACTATTCAGGAGGTTTTGACAGTTTTATTTCATGTATTTGAACAAAAACAAAATACATGCTAACTCTGCCAATTCAGAAGTACTGAAGCATCTAAAGTAAAATTGAGTTTCTATTTCCAAACCCTCTTTCTGAGTAATTTGGTGTGTGTCTTTTGTGATTTTTTAAAGAATAAAAATAAATACAAATGAATGTACATCTATTTTTTAAACTGGAATCACAGAATATTATTCTATAACTTTCTTTTTGTTGACGTTTACTTAAAATTGTCTTACAGATATCCTCACAAGTCAGTATGTATTAAGACATATATTATCTCATAGCTACACCAAAATTTATTATTTATTCAACCAGATCCCTGTTGATGGATATTCAGACTTTCAGATTTTATCCCATTACAAACAATGTAACAGTGTGTGTGTCATATTATAGCACCATAAATTCTAAGTTTTTTAGAAGTGAAAGTATTAAGAGGACTTGTATATTTTTTCATTTTAATAAATTTTATAATATTATTTTGCAACAAAGATGTAACTTGTTAGTTACCAAACATTTGTATAAAAATATTTTCCCACACCCTTGACAACCCAGAATGATACCACTTTTTTTATTTTTGTCAATTTGAAGGGCAAAAGCAAAGGTATCTCATTGTTTTAACTTGTATTTCCCTATCTAATAGGGAAGTATTTGTTGGCTGTTTGGATTTCTTCTTCTGGAAATTCTCTGCTCGATCCATCGCCTACTTTCTTCCTGCTGAGTGATTTTTCTCATGTTTGTGGGAGCCCCTTCTTTTGGCAATATGAATCCTCCATGTGTTGTGTAATGCTTGTGCTGCTGCAAATGCTTGTGCTCCTTGTTTATGATGTCTTTTTCCATGCAGAGACCCTGAGCTTTTACATCATTGCACCTGTCAGTCTTTCTTATATGGTGTTTAGGTTTCAATCTTGCTTTAAAGGGTTTCCTACCCCTAAGATTATATGGATATTTGCCCATGTGTTTCTTACTTTGTTTCTATAATTTTATTTTTACATTTTCAGTTCTTCTATTCAAATTTTAATGTAGAGACTGTGAGGATTTTTGTGTGTGTTCTAATTATGTCAATTTAAGACCTGTTAGGTTTTCATTGTGGTCCTCTTTTTTTCATAGTTTTGCTTCAGTAAGAGCCACATTTTCTATGTCTTCCACCTGGCTTTTCTCCCACCCTGTCACAGAAGAACTGATTTTTTTTAACCTATGGTAGATGAGGGTTCCCTGACCCTGATCAGGCCAAGCTACAGGCTGGCACTTGAGGCCCACAAGAGGGGACAGTGCTGTGGGAGTGACACTGCCACAGGCCACATCTTCCCTGGGCAGAGTGAGCACCTCTGCTCATAGGCCTCTCTGGGTGCAGACAAGGAAGGAATCACAGGCCTCCTCTAACTGATTCTGCTTCCAGGGCAGCCTTCCTCCAGGTCTGAGGTTCCAGCCCTGCCTTTCCAGAATCCCCTTCACTGGGCATTTTTAAACACTGAAAGTAGTTCAGTAATATCTAGTCCTACTACACACAGTCACGGGCAGGATCTACATGTTCCTCCACCTAAGGAATGGTATGTGTAGATGCCACTTCAAGCTGGGTCCTCTGCGGGATTTGTGCTAACAGGGGTTGTGGTATCTGGGGCTGTTTTGGTGAAGGCTAGATGTAGCTGGGAAACCAACCAGTATGACTCATCTGAAGTGAGGGGCTTTTCATATTTATCACCCCATATACTTTTTAATCTTCCTATAAGTGATATTGCCTCCTCTTTTTCTAGGTACAAGGAAAGTTTGGTTTGTATTTTAATACTTCAAACTGTCCAGTCAACATCATTCTGAGGTAGATCACAAGGAAACTTTCACTAATTTGTCACTGAGTCAGCCAAGAGGAGATTTCAAGACAATCTGAATCTTGAAGCAACTCCTTCCTGCCTTATGACTGGGAAACACTCAGGGGTTTCTGATGATGTCTGTCTTGAGGGAAAACTTAGTCAGGCTGGGGGCAGACAACCTTCTTCCTGAGAGACAACACCAGATACTCAAAGCAGCAGGCTCTGTCCACAATTGGACAGGCTTCACAGACCACGCTTAGGACCTTCACTGAGTAAAGTTCCCACCACTCTATGATGTAAGTAGGGCAGGTTCTCCTAGTTCAGTTTTATATATGTGGGAAACTGAGGCTCAGGGATCCCAAGTAAGTTGCCTCTGATCACATGACAAGTAAGCTGACAGCCAGGACCTTACTGAACTCAAATTTAGTTGGTTTGGAAACCACTTGCATTTTGTCGAAAGTAATTCCCCACATACATTCATTACTTATTGAGAAATCCGCTGAGCTAGGAATCATTCCTGGTACCACATAAGTCACTTATATTGTGTGTTTTATAGTCAAAGCCTTTTTTACATGCATCACCTCAAGGACTGGTTTCTACTAATAATGTCTCCTACCCATTACTAGAATACACAACTGTGACTGAACCCATTCAGACCTGTTGTCATCTGCACTTTGTTTATGTGACTGTGTGTAGTAGGACTAGATATTACTGAACTACTTTCAGTGTTTAAAAATGCCCAGTGAAGGGGATTCTGGAAAGGCAGGACTGGAACCTCAGACCTGGAGGAAGGTTGCCCTGGAAGCAGAATCAGTTAGAGGAGGCCTGTGAAAGGGACATTTCCTGTGACAAATTCAGACCCATGGAGGAGCACCTGTGTCAGGGGTCTATCAAGAGCTGAGACATCACAGGGTCTGCTCTGCCTGCAGATGAGCTGTCTTTTCTGTCTCCTTCTGCCAGATCATATGGCCTTCACTGTTTTGTTTTATGTCTTAAAACACCTGTGAACATAGTTTGTAACATTTTGCATTTTGCTAATTTTATTCCACGGGGAATGAATATTCAGTCAATTCAGGAAAATTCATAAGCTAGAATTTGATACTTAATGAAAAAAACAGATCGTGTTGAGCAAAACTTCTTTCATGGAAACTCCCTAAACTTTGATTCCTCACAGGTAATGAAAACTGCATAGAAGTCCTCTTGGAGCAGAAGTGTTTCCGCCAGTTTAGCGGCAATCTCTTCACCCCGCTGCACTGTGCAATGTGAGTAGAGAACACAGATGGTCAAGGGGTGCTTTAATTTCTTTACACATAGAGAAATCACTTTTTAGGAAAGGAAAAGCTTTTTGATTATAGTTAAGACTACAATATTCCACTTTGTTGCTAAAAATACATATGTCTGACAACAGTGTGGCCCCTGAGTTTGGTGACTCTCTGGGAGTCCTGTGGGGCATGACACAGTTCCCAGGGAGCATTCGGGACACACAATGTCAACTCTTAGGCAAATCCTGAAGATAAATCAGGGTTGGTGATATGTCGGTGGGGTCTTAGAGAGTCATCATATGCCAAGAAACCTTTCCATGTGTTACAATTCTGCACTTTGGTATGTTGACAATCCTCTGTTGCTAAATTTGATTTTTGTTCCAGTCTCATCATGTGAGCCATTGTTCAGAGGACATGGTGATGTTAAGTCAGCCTGCTGGGGTCACCCAGGACTCAAAACCTGAAGGCAATTAGACTTTACATGTTCTCTGGCTGTACATGAAGCTAGGTCATTTGATTGAAAAGGTATTGGAGGCATACCATAGATCAATGAACAAAGTGCAGATGACAACAGGTCAGAATGGTGGTTTTGCACCCAAAGTAGTCTTGTCTGCTCCACTCTGGTATCCCACAGCACTGACTTGGGGCCTTGTAAGTGTCTGTGGTCAACCCCTCCCTGAAGCAGTAGTTCTGGGGTCAGGGCTCACAGGCAAATGCCACTGGAACACATCCACAAATACTTGCATCAGCTTCTCAACAATGCTTCATGTGGTTAAACAGACAGGGCATAGGAAGACAGGGAAGAGGGCATGTAATTTGCAAAAAAGCAAGATGTTTTCATTAAAATCTACTTTCATTTTAGAATAAATGATCATGAGAGCTGTGCATCATTGCTACTTGGGGCCATAGATTCCAGTATCGTCAGCTGTAGAGATGATAAAGGCAGGTGAGTGATGCTAGAATGGCGTGCCTTTTATCTTCATGAAGCTTAATGTCTGCTTTGGGGTTCAGAATAGCCAGAAAGCCACTGCTTTTTTTTAATTGAAAGAGTAATATATAAGCATGGCTTTTAATAATTAAATGTTACAGAGGGTATATAATTGAAAGGAATTTCCCTCTTAGCCCAGAATTTCCAGTGCTTCCCACAGAGAAAGCTACTATTCACTGTTATTTATAAATGTTATATTCTCCTAAATATTTTCTATATATACCTACAAACACATATGTAAGTATATACGCATATGTTCTTTTTCTGCATATGGGAACATCCATAACAATGCTCTTCTTTTAGTATACCTTAGAGATCTTTCTTTTTCCACATATGGGAACATCCATAACAATACTCTGCTTTTAGTATACCTTGGAGATCTTTCCACATCAAAATGCATAGATTTACTGTACTCTTTTTAAGCCTGCATGTTATTTCATGGAATGGATGTACTATAATTTGCTCATCCTGCCCTCTGCTGAAGCATTGTTTCCAATATTCTTCTGTTTCAAAGGGTAGTACAGTGAACATTCTTGACCAAACACATGACCAAGGGTGTCTAAGAGAGAAAGCCCCAGAAGTGGAATTACTTGGTTAAAGGCCAATAGTTTTAATTTTGGTAAATAATGCCAATTTATCCTCTGAAGAAACTCAAGCATTCACATTAGATGATGTAGACTTTTTACAATGTTATTTATTTTATTTTAATTTTATTTTTTGAGTCAGGGTCTCACCCTGTTGCCCAGGCTGGAGCACAGTGGCGCAATTACGGCTGATCTCAGCCTTGACCTCCAGGGCTCAGGCAGTCTTTCCACCTCACCCTCTCAAGTAGCTGGGACTATAGGTGTGTACCACCATACCAGCTAATTTTAAAAGTTTTCTATAGAGATGGGGTATCTCTATGTTGCCCAGGTTGGTCTCAAACTTCTGGGCTCAAGCGATTCTCCTCCCAAAGTGCTGTGATTATAGGCGTGAGCCATCCAGCCTACAATGTTATTTAATCAACAATTGTCTATAGATTTAAAGCTTAAAAGTACCTACAAATTGAAGACACTGTTGAATGTGTCTATCTCAAAGATTAAAGGGTCAGCAAAGATGCTGATTCCATGAGCTGGACCACGATGTGCACCCTGAAATCAAGAGGTGGTGCTTAAGCATCCACCCTCAGTGGCCTTTAGAGAGCCCTGACATCATCTCTATAAACTGAAGCATTTCCAGTCCTGAAGACAACACCACATGCATGTTTCTTGGACAGTTACTAAAGAAAACATAAATCAAAAAGAAACTAGAACCATGTTTGTTCCAACCTCTAGGACACCCCTTCACGCGGCAGCATTTACTGACCACGTGGAGTGCCTGCAGCTGCTTCTGAGACACAATGCCCACGTGGATGCCGTGGACAGTTCGGGGAAGACAGCACTGATGATGGCTGCAGAGAATGGGCAGGCGGGTGCCGTGGGTATGTGCTTGCTGTGTAGGCTGTGCCTGGGCACCTGTCCCACATCCAAATCATATGGATCTGGAAATGAGTGCCTCTCTCAATGCACACCTGGGGAAAGGGCCGCCAACAACTGTGTGGAGGCCACCACACTATGCACAAGCATCTCCCGTGCCTTGCTGCTTGATTATGGATGAACTTTGTCACAAAGAGCCACCCTTTCTGCAGTGGCATTTCTCAACATTGAGAAACCAACTATCATAACAGAATCATTGTAACTACTTAATGAACTATAAAAGCAATTAACACTAATGTCTGTTAAACTTGGATCTGGATAAAACAAATATGGCAATAAAAAGCTCCCTTTCCTTTAAAAGCATTAGATGCAATTATGTGAACAGTACTAATTTAAGTATGTCATTGTTTCTAGTAGTAACTTCTTCAAAATGCATATGATTAGCCTCTGGGTGACTCACCATCTTTCTGGCTTTTTCTCTAGATGTTTTGGTGAACAGTGCCCAGGCTGACCTGGCTATGAAGGATAAGGACCAGAACACACCCTTGCATCTGGCTAGTAGTAAAGTATGTATGGGGATTTAAACCCCTGTTAGTTGTGCTGTCATTATCGTCATCACACAGTAATGATCCCGCTGAATTTGGTCTGTCTTAGGACTATGGAGCACAACTCTCACTAAGATGTACACTTTGCAGGATGTTGCCAGCTATGTGGGAATTGAAAGGGGAAGACAAGACAGGCCAGGGTTGGTAAGGATGGTGTCATCCGTAAGACAGGGATAGGTGTTCTGTAGCATTCGCCTCTTGAGTTCTTGCCACAGGGAGTCTGTCTTGTTGCAGCCATTGTATCTGTCTCTCTTACTGTGAGACATTTGGGTACCATGTCACAGGTTGAGACCCTCATTCTGTGGCGTCTAGAGTGTGAGCAGTTTCACTTGCTGGCACTGTGTCCATTGGAAGACAGTACAGCAACACTGCCAAAAACATTCAACTGTGAAGCAAATGCATGTGTCTCCCCTTCCCCCTTTTCTTCTGGTCACAGTTTAGTGCAAAGAATGTGTTTGGTCCCCCCCGCCAATAGCATTGGGTTCATCTGTTGCTTGCGATTCCTGCTTACATATCGGATAAATAGTATATGTGGCATAATATATATTTTGTATATATAATGTGATATATATGTATATATGACTCTACAAAAGTGAGATCATGTTGTTTTATAACTTGGTTTTGTTACTGACTCGCATGTTACGAGTATCTTTCTTCTAGATGTCATGTTGTGGCATTTTAGGAGGTGTGTAGCATTCCACCTTAGGAACATGCATCCTGTATTTAGCCTATCTCCTGTTACTAGACGTACAGCTTATTTTCAAATCCATGCTACTACGGGTTCAGTCTCCCTTATCTGAAATGCTTGGGTCTGAAAACGTTTCAAATTTAGGATTTTTGGGGATTTTGGAATATTCGCATTATATCTGTTGAGCATCTGCATCCAAAAATCTGAACCCCAAGATGCACCAATGGCCATTTCCTTTATGTGGACACTCAGAAAGTTTTGGATTTGGGGGAATTTTGGATTTCAGATTTTCAAATTTGGGATGCTCAACTTGTATGATAGGGCTTAGTATAGAGAAATCTTTTTAAGGAATCCTTACTCATTCTTTGAGGATGAATTCCTAAATGTGGACTTACTAGGTCTAAGGATATGAACATTTTTAAGTCCATATTGCCCTCTAACAAAGTCACAACAGTTCACACTCCACCAGTAGTATATCACATGAAACCTCCATGGACATGTCTAGAATTATATTTCAGGGTCTCCCATAAGGCACCATAGTATGAAGCCAGTAGGTAACAGGGATGGAGATCTGTAGTCTAGTTAAGTCTGAGTGAACAGGGCTGCTCACACCCAGTGTTACCAGAAGGCCCAGCCATTCCTCTCCTTGCTTGGTTTTCTCACTCACTACTCTGGGAAGAACAGGGGAACCACAGAAAGTGCCCGGTTTTACAAAGTTGGTTGATTTTAAAGTGTAGTATTTTGGTGAATATAAGTGCAGTGCTTTTCAAACTTCATTGTGCCAATGAATTACCTGGGAATTTTGTGAAAATACAGATTCTGATTTATTAGGTCTGGGGTGTGACTGAGTTCAGCATTAGCAGTGTCTTGGGAAGCCATGACCCTTTCAAAGGCACTGGGCTCAAAATGGTGAAAGAATCTCTCAGTTATCCATTGATTTTCAAAAATTGTTAACCATTGATTGTCATAAGGTACAGAGAGATGTCTTCCCTGGTCGAGGAAGAAAAGAATGAGCTTTCCTTATAAATGATGATAAGTGATACAGATAATAGGTCTATTGAGAATTCCAAGGATAAATGGATCCTTGAAGTGGTCACTGAGAGCTTGAGGCAGGAGGTGGAACTTTTGGAGTATATTAAATGTTGAAGGATTGAGCGGAAACTCCTAATTCTACTCCCTGCTTCCCAACTGACTTAGATCTCTGGACATTAACTTTAAAATTTATCTTAGAAATATTAATATTTTAGATCAGATCTATGTTAACCACATCCTAATAGACCTTATTCAGAATCCTAGAGTATCTGGGGCCTGTTTGCTTTTTAAAAGAAAAAAATTACTTAGAAAATAGCCTTATAGAGGCTTTCTAAGCAGAGGAGATTCATTTTCAATTTAAATTATAATGAAGTAATTTTTCAGAAACTTCTCTGTGTCTCTGACCCTTGTTTCTTATTATTTTTTCTTTCTTTGTCAGGGTCATGAAAAATGTGCCTTGTTAATCCTTGACAAGATACAAGACGAGAGCCTTATTAATGCAAAAAATAATGCACTGCAGACGTAAGTGTAACTACTAAAGCGTGATTTCAACCCAGAGTTGCAGTCACTGATTCAATAAATATTAAGCTCCTGCTGTGTGCCTGGCTTGCTCCAAGGAGCATAGTGATGAGAGACAAAGACCTGGCCTCCGTCTTTGGGAGCTAACAGTCACACGCCCACATGTGTGACCCTGCTAGACCGTTTGAATTAGAAACCTTATTTTGCTATGTCTTCATAGAATTTTGTGAAGTCTGTGTTTTACTTTGCTGATATTTTTGGAGTAATAATATGAATTTAGTGGGCTGTTAGAAAAATCATATGGGCTTATGGATTGACATATTTGGGGAAACAATTTGTATTATGCATTAGCATTATGTATTCTACCTTGAAAATGACAGTATGATAAATCAGGTTCCCAGAATACACTTGAAGAGTTTCTAAGCTATTTGTCTTGATTATATTTTAATATCATTCAGTGTAACTCTCAGTGTGAAAGATCTAAAAGCTGCTTCATTTTCCATTTTAGGAAATTACTTGTGCATTTTATTTTAAAGGAAAAAATAAAGGAATAATAGGGATTTTTGTTTAAGATTCTTAAGCAGTATATGCCGATGGGCGTATAGAAGTATAGAAGCAGCTGGATCAATGTGGACAAATTTCAGAATATAAAGTGCTGAGAATAAGGATCTCCTATTTTTCAAGTGTTATCTACCGTTCTTATATTGCCTAAGATAGAGGCAAAAAAGAATATGTGAATGTTTTAGACTGAAAGCACCCATCAAAAAGTACTGACAATCCTAAACAAAATATTGGCAAGTTAAGTGCAACCAGCCTGTAACAGTGGCTCACACCTGAAATCTCAGCAACTGGAGAGGTTGAGGCAGGAGGATCGCTTGAGGCCAAGAGAGTTTGAAGCTACAGTGAATTGTTATTACACCACTATACTCCAGCCTGAATGACAAAGCTAGATCTTGTTCCCCACCCCCCCAAAAATTTATTAAGCAGTTTATAGCACAGTATACTGAATTTGAATTATTCTTTAAAGTATTATAAATTCAATAAAACATCTCTGTAAGTTCAGTAATAATAAAGAGGTTTGAGGTTATATATATAAAATTCATGTATATATATATATTTTTTTCTTCTATATATGGGTAATATCAATACCAGTCATATTGATGAACTATGTAAAACAGTGATTCAAGTGGTAAAGAACTTTCTGCAGAACACACCAGAGCTTGATTCCTTCTCCATCTTTCTGTTTACTGTCATTGAAATTATTTGAGATGCAGAGTACTTGTAATATCTGCAGTGAGATCTGGACCAAACATGTAAGAATAACTGGATCATTAGCTCCTGGAAAAGATCTGGTCAAGATATATCTTTTTTTAAAAGTAAAAAATTTAAAATATTGACTAAGTGTGGTGGCTCATGCCTATAATCCCAGCAACTGGGGAGATTGAGGCAGAAGGATTGCTTGAGGCCAGGAGTTCAAGCCCAGCCTGGGCAACATAGCAAGATCCCATCTCTAAAAAAAAAAAATCAAAAGGTAAAAAAATTATCCAGGTCTAGTGGTGTGTGCTTTGTAGTCTCATCTTCTCAGGAGGCTGAGTCAGGAGGATCGCTTGAGCCCAGGAGATTGAGGCTGCAGTGAGCTATGATTGTGCCACAGCATTGCAGCCTGGGTGACAAAGTGAGACCTTATCTCAAATAAATAGAGATTAGACAGACAGACAAATCCATGCACGATTTGTAGATTTTTAAGTATTTCTTCCTTCTGGTGACACAGACTAACCAAAATGTCACAGTCTCACACAAATATGTATCACAACCCGATGCTGGGTCTTGTGTTTTTTAGACCCCTCCATGTAGCCGCACGCAATGGCTTGAAGGTGGTCGTGGAGGAGCTGCTGGCCAAGGGGGCCTGTGTACTTGCTGTAGATGAAAATGGTGAGTGGAAAAAGTCTTTGATGACTGTGGGTGAAGCCAGAGGGATGGGGCTAGTTAAAAAGGCAGCAGGAACTCCCTCCCCTCAGAAGGCCCCTGTGTGTGAGAAACCCAGTGAGGATGACTTGTCCTGTCTGTGTGTCTGTAAGTCCAGAGTCCCCCTGTGGCCACCAGGGCTGTCTGTTTTGCATGTGATGTCAGCAGTGGGTCTCTACTCCTCAGCTGGTGGTAAAGTCATCTTAGACATACCACACCTTCTATTAGGCATTCGAATCTCTGTCTGTGCTGAAGAGCAAGGGGCCACACATGTCCCTGGTGCCTGCTCGAGGGCTTCTGCGAACCGAGGCCTTTGATTATCTTTCAGTTCATTCTGAGAGCAAACCTTTTTTTTTATTCTTTAAGTACAGACTAGAACTCATATCCCCACTCTGGAAATGAGGGGAACAAGATTAAAATGTCTTAACGAACATCTAGGATTGAAAGCTTCCCTGCTCTGCGTAAGGTGTTTTTTCTAAATAGACTCCTCAGCAGAAACTTTCTGCTTCCTCAGAAAACCTGAAAATGCAAGACTCCTTGAATTGTACGGACTGCCATGTTAAGCACCACGCTTATTAATCTTGGGGAGCAAAAAAGGAACTTCTGGATATTTAGAAATGAAGTAATTTTTAATATGTGGCATTAATTGTGGCATTTCATGAAGTCATCTAACGCATTAATGTAACTCAATTAACTGCTTGTTGCAGGTGTTGGAATAAGCAGCACATGCCCACTTATCAGAAGTAAGCAGCCATGCCAACATCATTAGCTGACTCTTATGAGTTCGGGTTTCGTAGCCCCCTTATCCTAGCATGTGCCCTGCTCTGTCCCCAGCCTGGCTCCTCTAGGAAGTGCGGAGTTCCTTATTTCCCTGTCTCCTTGGTCTTTCCGCCTCACTGTCCCTCACCCCCTTCTCCCCACTGCAGACCTTAGGGTTGGCATGCACCAAATAATATGTTAGTTCTGCCTTTCTCTGGTGTAAACCTGTTGCATCCAGGTTTGTTCAGCTGATAGTGACCTCAGAAACAAGACCTGGGTCAGCAGAGCTGTGACCTGGCTCAGAGCTTAGCTGCGTCCCAAAGGCCTAGCAATGTTTGGGGCAGTTGCACACAGGGAGGGTGGGAGGACAGGTCAAGGGATGATGAAGCAGCACAATGGTAGGTGTTATGGAGCCAAGCCCTTCAGTGACTGAGTGCACGCACAACTCGTAGTATAGTAGGACTTTGGCCACCAGGGAAGGCAGCTAGCCCTTTAGGTCAGCAGAATGAAGCTGAGCAGGGGTAAGAATTAAAGACTTCACGAAGCCCCTCCACAAATCTCCTGTTTCATGTGCTGAGGCCGTTTTCTCATCTAGACCGGACCCATCTAAGCTAAGGGTTGAGATGACATGACTAGTTATGGCAAACGTGGTCACTTTCTCCTGTCTGTTACATTTCAGTTCGGAGACTTTGGTTAAAATTCTGCTCAATTTCTCCTAAATGATAGTAAATTTTTACCAGTGCCTTCCTTTGTCCGATCTACCAAATAATTCCATTTTTCTAAAGCCAGGTCACTGGGATACACTTTTATATAAAGTACATATAAAGTGACAAAACTGTACAGCCCACTTTTCCAGTTGTGCAATTTGTACTCTTTTCTAATCTGACACACAACTACCTGACAATGGAAAGCCATTGTTCTCAGAATGAGAGTCCCACCCAGGCCTGGACTGAGGCTCGTGGCATGGCATGCGTGTGCGCTCAGTGAAACATCTTCCTGGTTTTCGTGCTGCTGTTTTGTGTGGATTGTGCCATACACCCACTCCTCGTGTCTCTTTTCACTAGATGAAGGCTGGGATTCTCGCCTAACTTGAATAAAATCATGCTTGCTGTAGTCATAGAAACTGAGAAACACAAGCACAAAAAGCCGTCCTGTGTGAAGTATCTCCCGCCTGCCTTCTGCCTCACCCCTGGCATGACTTGTGAGAATAACCCCTTACCTGGCATGATTCTAACTCAGCATACATCTCCCTGTGAGGTCCTGGAGATGTACTGTGGACCCTGGGATTAACCTGTGCTTTGTCTGCCCTTACGCCCAGGTCACACCCCGGCCCTGGCTTGCGCTCCTAACAGAGACGTGGCTGACTGCCTGGCCCTCATTCTGGCTACCATGATGCCTTTCTCTCCTTCCAATACAATGGCGGCTGTCAACTTCGTTTGTTTAAAAAAAGACCATTTGAGCAGGACGACCCTCTCCAATCTGGGGAGCATGGTCAGCCTGTGCAGCAACAACGTAGACTCGGAGGACGGGTACAACGAGAACGACTCTGACTCGGAGACCTTTTGACTTTGGAAGGTAGAAGCCTTTCCTTGGTTGCCCGCATGGCAGGAAGGAAAAGCAGCTTGAATTCCAGGTCTCTGTTGTATCCAAGTAGGATTTGGGGCCTGGGCTTTCAGAAGCCAATAGAAAAGGAACTAAACCAGGAGGGCAGCGGGACAGCAGGGCAGAGCACCCACACAGGCAGCCCCATTTGTCTCCTTTTGCGATTTCCTGAGATCTAAGGCACTTCTGGGAAAGTCTACCTCTCATCCTAAGGAAGAGATAAAAAGTGTTCAATTCCTTTTCTCTGGGGATAAGGCAGCTGTTTGCTAGCAAGAATTTGTGTTTCACACACTCAGCAGTGATTTCTTGATGTGTATCCATGTGACATTCACATCCACGGGAGGAGGGAGAGGTAGACAGGAAATGCCTTGACCCCCTTCTCCCTTTGATGTTTACTTCCTCACTCAAAGCCAAAGGTAAAGGTGTTCATCTGCAGAAATAAGGCCTGTGATAAAGGGAGTCCAGCTGTTTCTGTCCCCTCTGTAGTAAGTATTTAAATATCCAGAACTTCTTTCCGAGGTCTTTGCTAGAGTTACCAGATGCATTGAAAAACTGAACTTGCTTTTTTTGCTTAACACAAATGTGGCATCCAGTGTTCCCCATAACAAGCCTGCGACTAATTTTCGCCCAAGTAATCGAGCCCAAATTTATCTAATAATATTGCACCAAAACTTGGAGGTAATATGCAAATCTAATATGAAGCTACCCTTTGTTGTAATTCATTCTCAAATCAAAATACTAACTTTTTAAAAAACATCAAAACTGCCAGCTTTGTTCATCAGTAGTAAGATGCTAGGTAGTTTCTCAGCCAAGGTCATGCCAAGTGAGTGGAAGTGTGACTGCAAAAGGGAAAGAGAAAGTGAGAACGGAAAGTAGAAATGGGCGATTTTGAGAGTAAAACCCATTGCCAGTTGCTTGGTGCTGATGCCAATATAGTGAATGCTGTGTCTGCTCCTCTGCCCAAGCTTCTAGGTCCAATGGACCCCGTGCCACCCCTGGGACAGCTGTACAGAAAGAAGAGTGAGACTTTTTAAAGATTATGCACATCCGCACGCACACATACATGTGTGTATACATGCATGTATATAGTTCATCAGCCAGCTCTACATGGGACCGAACACTTCTGTCTAAATGGAAGTCTTAAATCTTTTTCCTTCAAAATTCAAATGAGAACTGAAGTCGCTTTTCTATGGAGTTGATATATAATGTTTTTGTGTGCTAGTCTTTGTTGTATTTTATATTTCTTACGACACAGATTCCTAGTTGACGACTTAACATTTGTAACTGATGATGTGTTGGTCATGGTTTTTGTTCCTGTTTTTTGTTGTTGTTGTTGTTGTTTTTGCCAAACTAGAAGAAATGTCCATCTACTTTTGAGGTAAACATGTTTATATTTATTTGAAATGAAACAAATGCCAAGGAAATACCCCTTGTTCTCTGTTTTCATGGCTATATATCTTATTTGGAATAATAAAAAAGTGGAAAAACACCCTTGACCCTCGGCTAGCCACAAGCCCTGGCCAAGTCCCCCATTTCCACAGCTGAGTTTCCAGCTGACCCTCAGGTCCTTCTGCATTGGTGTGAGAGGAGGCAACACCTGCTGCTCAGCCCCGTCTATGTCCAGCTTAGGGCTGAGAAGACATTGCGGTCCAGATGCTCTTCTGCAAGGTGAAACCAAAGTTTGTAGTGGACTATGTGCACAAAGGTCGGTCCAGAAACTCCCCTGAATACACTGAGGATCTCATGTGGCCCAGAAACCTAATGGGAGATAATGGCAGTGTTTGGGCACCCATGCCAAGAGGAGGAACAAGAACCACAGTTCCAGAGCATTCTCCACCTGAGGAAGAGACAGTATGGAAGCAAGGCAGTTCTCTCAGCATTTTATGACTGTTCCATTTTCACCCCAGAAATGTATATTTTACAGCATACGTGAGATATTTTTTAAACAGTATTTGGATCAAATGCTGTATTATATTTTTCATCCAGCTGTAAGGGACTTTAATCTCACTCCTAATATCCTGGATTTAAGTAAAGCTCATGTTGGGTTCACAGACTTGTTCCCAGGACTGCTAGAACTAGTGTTAGTATCACCGAATATTTTCGACACCACCAACATTGATTTTTGAATTTTTGGTGTCATCTGTCCTTTTTTATTTGTTTAGAGAAAATAATTTTTTAAAAAAATAGATAAATTGCTCATGAGCAATAATGACCTGATCTTTACCAAAACACTGAAAGCAAGAGATATCCAGTGTTGAAGAAGCACAGTCTACTGAGGTGTCTTTTTCTAGAAGTGAATGGAAATCTTGTGCAGCTGGTGTTTGAAGCAGAAAATGAAATGCCTGCCTAAGTGGTAGAGTAGTGTTTGAGTTTTCCTGTGAGCAGCAGAGGGTATAAGAGTCCTTTCAACAAAGCAGTGGCGGGCAATGGAACATGGTCTCCATGAGCCGCCCTTCTGTGCCTCCCACTCTCACCATACAAGGAGGACAAAGGAGCCAAGTGCACGCATGCTCACAGGAACTGTTTGCTGAATCCATCTCTCTCTCTCTCTCTCTCTCTCTCTCTCTCTCTCTTTCTCTCTCTTTCTCTTTCTCTTTCCCTCCCCACGCCCCTTCTCTTTCTATTTCTCCCTTCTCCCAAGAACAAATTTTTTAATTTAAGAAATGACTTTAAAAATCATCATTTCTGTGTATATCAATTACAGCTGTTAGAAATAAAATTATGTTTGCAAAATAGCTTTCGAAGAAAAAAAAAACAGAAAATGCTGTGTTTTTCATTGAGTATTAGTTTCTGAGTGCTTTTACCTAAATGTGTTATATTGAGACTGTATTTTCTCCACAGCCACAGGGATTGTGTTTCATTTCACTTTCCTACTTGCCAGTGTCTGCCTATCTTTGGTAAATACATGAACTATCTCCAAATTGCCTATGATCTGCTAGGATTCTACGGTAAATAGCTCAGGGGATTTCTATTTATCACTACTAAAAGGGCACCATCGTCTGTTTTGGTACTTTAGGCAGTAAACACTGCTTGATTTATTATTTTGTTATGAAACTAGAACAAGAACATCAAATGCATTTGCTGCACTAGTTATTCTTTGTACTGTTGAGCAACTTGGTGTGCTTACCTGTCATGTTAGTTGAGAACTCATTCTTTTGTCTTGTAATATGAAGTTAGAGTGCCTTTTATATCTGTATATTCTGAAACTGTTCTGTGAAATGTTTTGTATTTTTCCTTTGAGTGTTATCAGAGCAATATGACACCAGTAAGTTTTTCTTTTCAGCTTTTCTTTGAATGTACAAAGTGTCTTTTTTCCTATTTCTCCTTCTACTTGCATTCAAACGAATATGAAATGCTGAAGTTTTCTACGGGAATTATGTTTGATTTTGCAGTACTGAAATGCTTTCTTCTCACAAAACTGTAAACCATAGGTCAGTATACCGGGGAAAAGCATTTTAAGATAGTGACAATCTGAGTATTTTGTATGAGATGTAATTCTATGCGTTTCTTATGCAGTGATCTAAAAATTCAATGCAAATACCTTTTGTTTTGGTAGGTTTGTCTACATATTTTATGCTTTAGCATGTGCAATATATCTTTGCAAAGCACGATGATACAAATCTAGTGCCAGTGTTATATTTTGCTTAACCTATTTGTAACAGCATAAAATATTGTTTGATGATTTCAGTGGGATTTTGTCTACAATGTTTTCTTACATAAATTGGAGTTGAATGACTCTGGTAAATGTCATGACTGTAAAAATAAGGAAAAGGACTTTTTGTTCCGTGAGTGACTTTAAACCAGTCTGAATCTTCTCAAGCACAGTTTAATACTTTTGCAACTACTGAATGCTCCAAAAATGTCATGAAGTACTTAACTGTAATATACTATGGAAATGCATTCAGATGGTTATTTTTACAAATAAAAACGGTACAAATATTGTTGCAATTTGTATTCTCTTTAATTTTTCTAACTTATGCTTTTTCCAAATTTTGCTCACTTAAGTCTTTGTCCTCCTCAAAACCAAATTAACTTTAAAATTGGAAAATAATTAATCAAGATAAAAGTGTATTCCACTTATATCTGGCTATTTCTGTTTGTGTTATCACAACTACAGAAAAAAACCCAAACATGTATATTTGTGTTTATTATGTTTATTTATGCCTCCAGCTTCTTCCATAAAGGAGCTGGCTTGCGACAAAAGACATGATGAACTAGAAGTAGAAAAATGAAGACACAGAGAGAATAGAAACAACTATAGAAACCATAAAATTTAGCACAATGGCTGTGACTGAACTTGAGCTTGCCCTGAGCTTCCTCGCAGCCAAGATAAGAGGGGAAATGTGATCAGTTATATAGTTCACATATATCAGAAAGGAGGAAGCCTATCATGCAATCAGCCAAGCGTATCTTTGGTGCCGTCACCACTATCTGTCAGGGGCTTCCGAGCAACATAAGAACCTACCTCTCTGCACTACCCTTACAGGAACCCATAGAGTACCTACCCTCCTTCGTCTGTCTCACCATCCAAACTTCTTCCCCTTGAGTAGTGACTTCAGGGATGCTCCCTGAAAGCAGTGAGGAACAAATTCCTAATGATGGTGTTTCCAGTCAATGAGAAAGAGATGTAGGAGTGGGACCTGCCTGAGAGCCCAAGTCAAGCATTACAAAGTGTTGGCAGTCCTGATGGCCCAGACCAGTCCTACCATCAACCTTTCATGAAGAAACCAGATCCCCGAGAAGTTGTACCCCTCACTCGAGCATCCGGAGCCAGTGATTTGACTACACAGCTTGTGCCCTGGACACTCTCTTCTCTGCATCCTGCTGTGGAACCGTTGGCTGTTTTGGCCAGATCTATGCAGGGAGGTTCTGCACTCAGCCCTGCCTTGCTCCTTATTGAGATACACAAATCTGCCTCCTATTCTGTATAGCACAAGTACCCAAGAACTCATTCTTTTGTCTTGTAATATGAAGTTGGAGTGCCTGTACTGCCCGAGTACCACCACACATGAAGTCTTCCTACTGTTCAGGGCAGACTGAGATATTCATTATCCATTGCCATGTAGCAAATGATCCCAGCACCTAGTGGCTTAAAACAACAGTGTTTCCATGAGTCAGCCATGGCTAGTGGAGTCTCCTGCCTTGGGAGCCCTCTATGTCCAAGCTTGCTTATAGGTGTTGGCAAGAGTCTTCTTGTGAGTTGTTGGGCTGAGGACCTCAGATCTTTGGTAGCTGTGGGCAGCCTTGTTCCTGCTGACATGGGCCTTCCCCCACCAGCAGGGCAGCTGACCTCATAAGAATAACTCACTGAGAAACACCAGAAAGGGGAATAGCGGGACAGGCGCAATTTTTTGGAACTGAATTCCAGAATGATAAGCCATCGTGTTTCCCATATTCTATTAATCAGAATTAAGTTACTAGGTCCAGTCTACACTCATGGGCAAGGGGTTACCCCAGGGTGTGAATACCAGGAAGCAGGAATTGTTGGAAGCTTCTTGCCATACTGGTCCATCACATATGCTTTTAAGTTGGTGTAACATCATGCCAAGGTACCTTCTTCCCAGGAGTCACCAGAGAAGTTTACTTGACATCCTAAACTTACCCTTCAAGAGCGACATAGAGACCCTAATTTCACGGCT